AGCATACAGTATGACAAGTACCTTTGCTGGGGTTATGGGAAAAAGGCAATTATAATCAGGCCCACTACCATCGCTTACGAACTCACGAAACTACAGTTAATTTAATATCTCATAAAAAGTTAACTTAAGTTCTGAAATGCTTTTTCTATTCGAAAAGACTACATAAGTGTGATTGTAATATTAATTATCGATCGGCATAATCCTAAAATATTTCAGTCATTTCGGTTTTTAAATGAGCCTATTTTTGGCCGTCTGCAAAAACTGCACTCTTAAAAATTGCTGCTAGAGTAGTATGAATTTTCCAGTTGATTTTAGGTGCCCTTAAAAATCCAAATCTACTCTATAGAAGACATATGCAAAAATATTCTCTTTTGTACTCATTTAGTAACAGGATGTGACTTCTTTAAATTTTATACATGAAGGAAGAGTATAGGTCGGCTAAAAATCTCTTTTGATCCCCGAATAATTTTTGACCCACCCACCGTAACACTTGCATCCAGGGCCCCCAAACTACATGGTGTATACATTCCGTCTTTGCGCTCCTAGAAAGATGTCGTATAGGATTCATAGAATTGTGAAATAAATGTGGACCCGGCCGTATACTTTATAAGCAGCATTAACAAACGTGCTGATATGATACAGCATGAACGGACAATTCACGGTCTTAAAAGATCTCATAGTTAGCAACTTTTTTAAAAACCAAAAGAAAGCAGAACATTTTGAGAAAAAGCAATTTGAAACAAAATGAGTACAAGAAAGAATATTTTACTGCATGTACCTTATATAATATATGTGAATTTAAAGGGACATTGAAAGTCAACGGGAAAAATTTTCACTACTCAAGTAGTCATTTTTTAAAGAATATAGTTCGCTCCCGCGAGGCGGGTGCGGACTTGTAGGACTGTTGGTCGTCCAGGAGAGCTTGTTCCTTCTCGTTGTAATCAACGCAGTTCATTACAACGGTTGCTCTTCCTTTGTCGGCCGGTAGCACTATAATATCTTTGTCCATTTTTAATCTCTTCATTGCTTCTATTTCTGCCGACGACATATTGCTAGCGTGCCTGTTCGTCTTCAGAAGCGACGTGACCTTTTCCCGCACCGTGTGTTTAGCCTTTTCGGTTGCGTTAGTTCGTACTAACATGGCCTCAAGTGCGGCAATTAAGTCGGCTGGGGTGGTATCAGTAGTGTTAAAATTGGCTTCGTAGCTCAACACTCTGAGTTCCGGTTCGTTTAACTGCCTCGACGATAAGTTGTGTACCCGACCAAATCATGGTATCTTTCGACGTTGTCTCATTTTTCACGTCCATCCCACCAGACTTGGCGCGCGACGTGCTACGCAAATGCTTCGAAGAAAAGTACGACGAAACGACAGGGCCCCTAAAGATCCAGCACCTAATGCAGCTCTTTGCATTATGCCAACGAACCTTTTTCACCTCCTATGGCAGAACATACGAATAAATCAAAGGAACATCCATGGGTTCCCCAATATCCAGCCTAGTTGAGGAATTGATCCTACAAGTGCTGGAAAAGGTTGCTTTCAGCCGCTACAAACCTGCGTTTTGGCGCCGATAAGTGGACGATACATTCGTCATTATTAAAAAGGACAGGCTATCGGGTTTTGGAGACTTGTTTAACAGTATCTTCCCCGACATTCAGTTTACAAGAGAAGACGAGGAAGCCGAGAAACTGCCCTTCCTTGACGTGCTTGTCACGCACACACCTGAGGGTAAACTCAGCACTACAGTGTACAGAAAGGCGACCAATACAACCCAGGTCCTCAACTATCATAGCAAGCACCCATTGGTGCGCAAACGGGTCTGTGTGAGGGCGCTTTTTGACCGGGTAAAAACGCACTGTAGCGAGCCCGAAGGGTGCAAGAACTACGGCATCTCCGGGACCAGTTAGCGAAGAACGGCTACCCAAATAGTTTCATCAGCCGCTGCATACGCACGCACCCACGACAGACAAACGGAAGAGACCAATAATTTGGCACTCCCTACCGTACATAGAGAATGTGTCCGAGGCTACAGAACGCATTGCGTCAGAGTTAGGCGTAGGCATCGCTCATCATCCGGCGGCTACCATGCGTAACATGATCATGAAAATGAAGGATCGGCTGGACGCATGTGAGCAGTCAGGCGTAGTCTATCACACCCCGTACCATAACTGTCCTTGCCACTACACAGGCCAAACAGGACGACGTCTCAGCTCACAAGTACTTGAGCACAAACGGGCCGTTCGAAGAGGCGACCCACTATCTCAAATCGCCACTCACACGCTGGAGGAAGGCCATGAGTTCGACTTCGCCGACACGCGGATATTGGCGCGTGCCGGCAACAAGACGGGGCGAGAAGTGTTGGAGGGGTGGGTGTTGGACACCAACTCTATCAATAGACACATTGATTTGCCTGCGTGTTATTACGCACTCCGCCCACGCAGCCAGGTGGGGCAGCTCACGTCGCCGCGACGTACAAACTGCGTCACCATGCCGGGGGACCATCGTGGACCAGGCGTCACAAGCCAGACCTAGCTACGGACGCAGTCCCCCCCCCACCCCACCCCTCAGGGAATGAGATACATGTTCACACGTTGCTGCACTCTAGCACTCTCTGATGGTGAACTCCAGGTCGAGTTCGAAAGCTAAGACCAATAAAACTACCGTCCCAGTGATCGTGCCTTCGTCTTCTTTTAAACAAGAACCTATGATGCGCATATTCTCTTCCATTCGTGAGTTCTCTCTTTCTTCAGATGACTTCATCACATGGTCCACTGGCAGATGACCGCACAATCGGTTCCTGCGGACACTAGCATGAATCGAGATTCATGTTGAAGAAATTAGCGCATGACGAAAATTTAGGGGTTCGATCTATTTCGTGAAAGAGAGCACGCCCGCTAAACATCCGCCAGAGGGTCGGGGCAGCGAAGACGGCAATGGGTCAACTCAGTGCCGACTAGCGCGGCACGCCATTCGCATTTAACGCCTTGACAATGGTGAGCCGACCGCGCTCTCCGAGCAATTCAATAAATCTGTTCCGCTACGACATTCCTCTTAAACTGTCAGCCGGAACTCCCAACCTTGATGATTTGATCTGATTTGGGTTCCCTAGTCCTCAACTTCAATGGGGATTTAAACCGAAAGGTTGCGGCAACAAGAACTTTGTTAGTGGAAATTCAAGCTCGCCATGTCACAGTTTGGTCACTGGACTCTAAGACACTCAACAGGGTGGTCGGTTTGCCAGACCTTTACTCCCACTATCTCGCTGACACCGCTTCGCCAAACGAAACCACATATTTCGAGGTTGACTTTCGCTGAAGACGGCCCCACTACATGTCGATGGTGGAAACATGTAGACAGCGGTCAGGCCAAAATGTCGGCCTTGTCTTCCCGAATTGGGGATATCTAAGGCAGGTGAGAGCGGACTGGAAATTGAAGGCAATAGGTCTGCGGATGGTTTCCAAATTAACCTCGGATCCCGGGCAACTGAGGCTGCAATTAATGCTTGCGAGCTCAGAGGACCAACCAGAGTAAGGAAAACTGATATACAGCCTCATGCGGGACCCTTAAATGAGGCTGCGGGACAAAACGAGGTCGCCAGTTCTCCGTCATGCAATTAGGAAAGATAGACGAGTGACCCTCCAGTGTGGTCCAATATACCCGGTCGCAGTCGACAGGGATCAAGCATGTGGTCTAGGGATGCAGTTTCGACCTGCTGACCAACTGATCGCAGGTCTGAATCCCAAATCTTACCGACATGGAGTCGGGACAGGGCTGACCGATGAGGACATATAAGTCAGACATGGTCCTTCCACTTTTCTCTTTGCCAACAACACTTCTGATTAGAAAGAGCACAACTGTCACCGAAACCAAGACCAGGTTAAAATAAACTAGAACGCAGGCATGCCACTATAATCCCTTTAATCATCACATGCACGTCATAGGGATAGACTTAAAGCACTTGTAGTCTGTTGGCATTCGCGTCTGCTAGCGGCAAAAATGCATGGGAAGCTCCTTGCAAATACTACACCACCAAACGGGACTTGGCAGGCCCGTCGGCAGGCTCAATGATTAGCTGTACTTGGTTCATCTAGCAGCAAGGCCGGTCTGGCCGATTCCCGAGCTTTCTGTATCACAGATCAGCGCGATCCACGTCCCCGATTGTTGGCTAGACCCCTACAATCGTAGTTCATTTGGCGCTGGATTCTTTAACACCAAAAACCGTCGACTAGACATGGGGATCCGTTAAAATGCAAAGGGTGGGTCCGGCAACTGTCAGTTTTCACTGACCGTGCCGTCTGATGACAGTGCTCTAAAACCCGGGTCCCTGGCCATATCAGCACAGTGCATATTACCCATCCGTTAAGTAATTATATACCAGATACAGTTTTTGGATACGCGTCCGTCGACCTAGGTTAATGGCCAAAGCCTCCGCGACTATGCTCCTGAGGATGGCCCACTGGTCATTTATGTAAGGCATTTGGGTGTCGTTACTTCTAGTCAGGCGAAGCGGCTGACAGTTGACCACCGTAGGGGAACTTCAGACAAGAAGGCAGGCGCTCGACCGCACATTCGATCCGGCAGTTGAAAGGTGAGGAAAATTACAAACACGCGCCCAAATATTAGCACCGAAAGTCGTAGAAACGAAAACAGAGGAACACCATTTTATTGGCGACCCTTCCAGTCTAGGATTGATTGCATTTTACGGAGTAATTCAACGAAATTACTGCCAATCAAAGGGAGAAAGGAGAAGTTCAACACGCAAAGGTCTAATCATCGATAATCTGGGAGACAAGATCTCCCACACCTTGTAGTTTGGTGGTTGTCAGTAATAGATCTGTCAAAAAGACTGAAAAGGCAAAAGAAAGATGCGAGCAGATACTCGCAATAAGAACATAAATAGGATCTTGCTTCTGCTGCATGCATTGTATAAGGTTGTAGAGGGGCAAAGGGCTGGCGAGGCGGCATTGTTTGCTGTAAAAACAGGCGAGAATGTGGCAGTCATCTAGTCCTTAAAATTCTTGAGATTGGGGATGCCCATAACGTGGTGCTCCGCGTCCGTACCAAGTTCAATGACACGTAGGGAATTGGTAGCCCCAGAACCTGCCTTAAAACCTGTCACAACAATAATATTGTCGCCGTCGTTCAAGAACTTCCTTTTACGACCGTAATCAATGGCGCACGCGATCCGGCGGTCCATATCTTCGGCCCAAAGTTCAGTTCGTGGTTCTAAAGAGATGAAAAGAGGCTTCGTCTGTTCGGATTACATGACGCAAATGGCCGTATCAGTTTTACATGTAAGTCAGAGTTTTCACGAAATTGGGATTAAAAATGTCGAGATTTTACGTTTAGTGCTGAATTCCGCCTAGTCAGGGTTCATTCGGAGGAAAAATTAGGCAACAAGTACTGTTAAAGTGTAGAAAGGACTCACCGCCGTAGAATATTGGATGGCAACCACGGTAAAGATGCAGTTGACGAGAAACAACAGCAGTGCGGGTGACGCAGATGATAGGACAGCGTGGGCGATGGCGCGACACCAGCTGGGCAGTCCTAAAACAAAAGAATGCCATTAAGCGTTCAATGGAACGGAAACAAAACGAAGACCATTCTAAATCAACGACACCTACCGGCCACTAGTGGTCACGACGATTATTGCCTGAGCTAGGCACCGGTGCGAAGCTTCGACAGCTGCTATGGCAGTCGTTAGCGTGGCGTCCGTAGGCAGAGACAAGACGCTCTTTAAGTCTTCGAACAATTGCCCATGCAAGACTGCCGACTCCGCCTCGCGGCATACGCTGGCCATCGTCTGAACACACTCCACAGGGTAGCTGCCCTTGGCAGTCTCGCCTAAACAAACAGATCGTACACTTTGAATTAAAGTTAATAATTATTCCTCAAGGCAAGGGTGAGTTCCAAATCCAATAGAGACTGTCAATGACAGCGCAATACTATATGAAATGAAAGAAACAGAATAAGCCGTTACCTGACAACATGACACAATCAGCGCCATCCAGAACGGCGTTTGCCACATCGCCAGACTCAGCCCGGGTAGCCCGGGGTTTGTACGTCATGGACTCTAGCATTTGAGTGGCACAGATACCAGGTTTTCCAAGCAGATTGCACCGGGCAATGATCATTTTCTGGGCGAGAAAGACCTTCTCTGGGGGAATCTCGATACCCAAGTCACCACGAGCAACCATGACACCATCAGCGGCTTGGATGATCTCATCATATCTAGAAATGTAGACGTTCCGATGAATTTGGTCCAGGTCATTCGAGATATAACAGGTAATAAAAAAACTTCTGTTTTATGGACAAAGAAAATAAGATACCGGATTGATCAAGGCAACTAAGCAGAGGCGTTAGACATGATGAAAAATGAGGAGGAATCTCAAAGTCCTATGAATACAAATTCGGACATTCTAGGACACCGGAGGTCAAGCGAAAATCGAGGTAGCATGGTTTTGTCGAAAAAAAAGACAAGCAACAGGGTGAAGGAACCAACACAAAGCAGGACGCATGACAAATCGTTTAACGCAGACAGAAACAAGCTGGTCGTTGAGGAAGGACTTACAGTTTGACACCCTGATGGTTCTCTATTTTAGCGATGATTTTGATATAAGCACCCCGTTCACCGAGATGCTCACGAATTTCCTGCACACCCTTGCCTGACCGGATGAAGGAAGCGAAGATGATATCGAGCTTCAACACAAAAGACCGTAGGGTTATTAAGTATGGGAAGTCAAGCACTTGAAATTTCAAAAACGAGATTAACACAAAACCGGGTTTAAACTGATGGCCTGGAAAAATGGAAGCGACTCAAAAGGAGAGCGGACCTGATTATCAACGGCAAATGTTAAGTCCTGTTTGTCCTTCTCGGACATTGACGGAAGATCGACAGGTGCACCGGGCAAATTAACACCCTTCTTGGACCCCAGTTTGCCTCCATTCTCAATAGTGCAGTCCAGGTAGTCGGGACCTTAAAGAGAAGAGCAATCGCTGGATGCAATTCGAAAGATGAAGTTTTGTCTGGACTGCGAAGCGAGAGTAATGCAAGGAAAGCAAGGGACACAACAGATTTGCAAACACAGTGTTTTTACTGGCGATATTTTCAAAAGGAGTGAAGAACAAACAACCCGAGCCACCTGAGCTGTTCTTTTCGTTTGATTAAAAAGCATGGCGTGCAGGCAAATTTGTTCTCCCGCCCGACAGAGGAGAAACTATGCCAACAGGGACATCAATTACAGTGAGGAAAGACCTAGGCAAGGACTCTCGCTGATGGATTTTCACTTAATCTGAATTACGCTGACAGTGCAACTATAATGCCGACTCTGTAAGCAAACGAGGCCAGGACATCTGACAGCAATCAAATAAAGAGTAAAGTGACTCAGTAATACTGAAGATGCAAAGAGGACGAAGGCTGTAGTTCCGTACCTTTTTCCTGTACGATGCAGCAAATTAGACCGTCGTCAATGTAGATTTTTGAACCAACATTTAAGACGTGGACAATATTTTGATAGTCAACATAGAGCACATCTTTTGAGCACTTCTCTGCGAATTGCGGATTCGGTGTAATACGTATTTTGCCGCCAGTCTCGAGGGTGACCTCGCCAGTTCCGCTCTACAATAAGACGGTAGTGAGAATCACAATCAATAAGAAGTTCATCTGGTGTGAAATATCACGATAATCGCACTCCGACGTAATCGACAACCACCGAGGATCAAAAGATCCAAAAACATGAGAAAAATCAGATTTCTTACGCCGTCGATTAGGCCAGTTCGAATTTCGGGACCCTTGGTATCCAGAGCAATGGCGACGGGACGATAAAACGGCTTGAATGTCTCCACAGCTTCACGAACCAGCTTGACAGTTTCCAAATGGTACTCATGAGTGCCATGAGAGAAGTTAAGGCGAGCAATGTTCATGCCGGCAGCCATCATTTTGTGTAAAGTCTCAACAGTACGTGATGCCGGTCCTAGAAAGCACAGAGTAATTATTGAATGTTGGTATACAGTATCAGCCCTGAGTGATGAGCAAACGGATGTCATTACAACCAGCCGAGCCATATTGTGAGGATGTAGGCTGACAACGCCAGAAAACCGAGACGGGAATTAACTACTATGGAACTAGTATAGTTGGATAATCAATGGACGAAATTGCCAGAACAGCCAGTATATGCGTGCATTACCTCCAACAAGTACTGTCAAGCCAGAGAGTAAATTACCACTTTGCAGAGGGGGGGACTATGTCCGACGCAGTAACCGCGAAAGTATTGGGCCATTTACCGCGTCCCATTTTATATCAACAAACGTGGAAGCAGTAGAAATTTCGCAAAACCACCCAATGGATTGGTCTTGTACTTCGTCCTGGAAGTTTTGGCCCTTTAAGAAGAACGAGGTCAAGCAACCTTATTTGTGGGGTTACTTGTAATCTAGCTATGGGACGACGATCTGACCACTAAACTTAATCCTGACCCAAATTATTCCTCCTGATCACCTTTACTATCTCTTCGAGTCGTGGGAACACGCGTTAGGTCGGCTCTAACTGCCCGACAAAACAAGAGCTCATAGAAAAGACGACTCAATGGTGATTACACCCCAACATGTTCACTACTAAGAGGCGGCTATACTCTGCATGAAGGTTTACTCATAATTATACCACAGGCTCTTGGCACATATGACAACACCATCACAAGGGCAGATCTAATTGTCCTTTTATAATTGGTTCGACTTAAAGCCGAGGCTACGTCAATGCATTTGGTTTACGATTGAAGGTTTTCGGGTGAGGAGAGGTTGAAATCCCAGTTTCAACATAGTGGCAAATACTAATAATGTAGAGGAGAAACCGTTCAGAAGCAAGATAAACGAGCGCACCGAGTGTACAGATTATCCCAGTGTTGCGCATTGAAGAGGGCTCGCGATCGATATCGAAGTTACAAACATGCTCCAAGAGGGAACGAGAGTCGTCAGGGGTCCGTCCATTGGGCAAACGGGCGTTGCCAAAGCTTTTTAAGGTGCCAGGGTCGTGTGCGTTCGGGATGGATGTGCCTTTCGCCAAATTTACTCCAGACATTGGTCCTGTTAAACTCGACAATTTAGACGAAGACTGAGCCTGTTCTCCAAGTGATGAGGCAGCGGAAGGGCGTATTACGACCTTGGAGCTAAAAACGCAAGAAAGTTGCAAAAAAATCGGAAATGTCACGAGTCTGAAATCTACCAGGAGGGTAACACCTTAGAAGAAACTCTCAAACAAATTAAGACCAAAGGACCTGATAAATGTCGTGAGGGCCAAGAGGAACGAGTCCGGACGGCAAAAGCGTGGGATCTGTTTGCATTTTAGAATAGAGGTAAAAAATGGCCGCTGGAAAAGGGTGAGTGCATGCGAAGGATCGGCCTTGAATTAGAATGGTGACAAGACAGCATTTTGGGTCCAAAAATTCCTAATTTTCGAGTGAGAAAATACAAACTAGTCCAGGAGAATGAAGTCGGACATCCTGAGAAAACGGAAACCAAAAAGCCCAGTCTACCATAAGTTGCGCAGAACATTAAAAACGAAGGTCGATTAGAAGAAGACCGAAAATAAAGATGGCGCTTAAACCGAAACATGCGTTTGTTTGGCAGGTGTTAGTCAAGTGAAATAAAATTGCGGACAAAATACGTATTCAACAGTGACCCCGAGAGAACAGACGTACGATAACGCAATATCAAATTTGAAAGACCCCGATGCCATGGAGCCACAAGTTTACCTTAGTGGCGTTGTTTAAAACAACAGGACGTCTGCCGACAAACGCAGAGCTTGCTGATGACAGGGCAAAATATTGTGAACTGAAGACACAGGCAATCATTTTTGACGAAAAACGTAAGCATCATCTATGAGTGAAAACCCCTGTGTATCTTATTGCCTATCCACTGAAAAAATGAGGGTTATGGGAGCATTTGCTCGCCAGGGTGCCCTGGTTCCAGCCCTATCTCGTTTAAATTTCCTTAGTGGTGGCTGCCAAATATTGTCAGAATTAGAATTAGCCCCATAAAAAGGACGCTTGATAGAGTTCGACAGAAATTATTGAAATGGTTAGAACGCGGCCGGTAGACTAACAAATTGAACTATGCTCTGAGGGGGTAACACTTAAATCTCATTAAACGACAGGTCAGGCGGAGAAAGCGAGTTTTAGGCAGTGAAAAAGCCACATGAGGCAGGCAAATCTGATCTTTTAAGACTGAGTTAAAAGAAAAACTATACATTCCATGTCACTGTCCAATACATAGTTTCAATCGGGGTCAAGGTAAAGCCGTTGGCTTTAAATTTGAAGATAAGTGGAAGATACTATTTTGATTGGTTTTTCTGTGAGACCCAACGATCTTGGTCCCCGTTTTTTGGTTAAGTTTCCTTAAATACAGGCCTATTCACTCAGAACAGCCTGTTGCCATCTGTTTTTGGAGTTCTGCTAGTCTATGCCTGTTGATCACCAGTCGCACTCCGCACTTCGCATTTCGTGCATCCGATTTCTCTGTAACTGCGCAATTTATTGTTACATCGTAAGCCTCTGGTTAAAATTCGATCACCTTGTCTGTCAGAAGTTTTCTTAATTGCAACTTGCCTCGAGACAAATGAGTGTAGAAGTCACAAGTCGACGAAAGCTCTCGGTCTCTGTACGTAAGCATGGCTTAACTAAATCTAAGTCAGAAGGCTCAACTAAATCTAGTTCAGAAAGCTTACCTAAATCTAAGTCAGATGATATCACTTGTCAGTCATCACCCGTTGTAACTGGTAGGCAGTTTAGTCTGTCTGCACCTGACAACTGTAATGATTTTACGCTAAAGTTTAGCAGTCTGCTGTCAATTCTTGAAAAATTATTCGACGGGAACATCTCGGATATTCCCTCTGAAGGACGTAGGCGTCTTGACTCACTTGTTCACCTGATCGCCAGTGAATCGGGTGATAGACAAGGGCGTGCTTACAACTTTTTTTTGAAAAATGTTCCGCGATCTGCTCGGCCAACTGATATTTTCAGTCTATTCAGTTTACTTGGTGAGGATACTAGGCGAGGCCTTTAAAAACCCTATTGATCACATGTCGATTCGTTAGAAGTAACTGTACACGAACAATGAAAATGTTCGCTATTAAAGCAATATTTGATTCATTTGAGAAGCATTGTTTCAGAGAAAATATGCGAAGGGTCGTGGGGTATTTAGTTCAGACTCAGACTGTCGAGGGAAAACAGGGGACAGAAATAATCCTCCAAGCGTTTCTTGAAGAGTTGCAGAGACGTAGCCTCCACGACTGACTGAGGGAGATCGTTCGATTTCTCCACTACCCTCTGCGTGAAAAATTTATAACGGAGATTCAGCCTGGACATTGTTGTCCGTAACTTCATCGAGTGGCCACGAAGATTGGGTGAAAGGTGCCACTGAAACATGTCCTCAAACCTAAGTCCATGCTCAACGCCATGTATTATCGTGTGGACGAGGATAAGATCACCTCTTTGTTGCCTGTAACACAGAGGGAATACATGAAGGCAATTCAGTCTGTCTGTGTAAGATTGGCCTTTTAGACCGTTTAGCAGCTTTGTTGCACGACGTTGTACCCTTTCGAGACGTGCTTGGTCCTTTACTAGTCATGGCCGCCATGACTGTAGGCCGTATTCTATGTGGGAACGAACAAAGGTGCCGTAAACTCTCCCCAAAAGGTCTTGGTCAACGGTTGCAAAAGCCCTTTTGATTGCATGAGCACTCCCATGGCGTTTTTTGCAGCCTTGTGGCACTGCAGTGTTGGTTTCGGGTTGTTCTGTATCCAAACCCCGAGATCCTTCTGTGAAGATTCTGCGGGGAGTCTTATATCTTTCAGGTGATATGTCCTCAGGCTCTCATTTGAATGAGAGTTGGTTGGACGCAGATGAAGGACGACACACTTCTCCACATTGAAATTTAGAAGCCATTCCTACAACTACGCTTGCAGTCGTTGCATATTATTTAGAAGGGATCTTGATCATTCGTACTGTAGCGGCTCAGCAGAGAGAATATGTGCAGCATGAGAGTTAAAATCGTCAGGCCAAATTCCATGTTTGAAGGGAGAAGACAAAGGGGACCAGAATAAGGGGTTTATTGTGCACAGAACCCGGGGTTGTCCTCTTAGGCGACAGTGGCCACTGACGAAGTCAGGGCTGTTGTTGACTGCGTCCAGTCAGGCCTGAGAGTCCCTGAGACAGTGGTGGCTGCCGCTTTTGTAGGCCCGTGGGCCAAACTCAAGTGGCGTCTAGTCAGCGTGTGTTGCATTTGCCGAGGGGTGGTGTCCCAATGGCTTGTTTTGCTGGTTGCAGGGGTGGCGCGTTCAAGTGGCCGCATGGGCAGCTGCGACTGCGCGGACGCCCGAGCTGTTGGTTGTGTGACTTCAGGTCACCTCGTCTGGGACGGCTCGCTGCAAGGGATGAATGACCTTGAGGCAGCGAGATCTGGAACAATGACGCCAGATTGGTCATGATGTCTGGCTGTTACAGCTCCCCGCCAGACACAGAACGAAGTGATTGTGTCGATCGTGAGGCAGGCGATGATGTGTGTGAAATAAGCCAGTGCACATGCGGGTTTGAGAGCGTGTGTCAATGATAGGAGTAGCTAGGACCGCGTGTCAAAGGGGATGCTGTGACCTGTAGAGAGGTGCAGTTAGGGCATCAACCCTGGGTGTGCTGACGTTGTCTCGTCAACGTGTGCCGGTGAGTTGGCACGTTGGTACGAGACAGAAGAACGTTTCGAACAGTAGGAGTCCCAGTGAGTGCTGAGTCGGACGAATGCGTCAGTGAAATAGGTTCACTGTCATCCAGACACAAAACTGGGAGGGAATACAGTGTCGAAATTGTGCAAGTTCATCGCTGTATATACGGTAGCATAATGAGTGTATGCAAGTAACTCACGAAGGACGATTTTGTCGGTAATGGGCGGAAGAATGTCTCGAACAAAAGAGAGGCGTTTAGATAGCAACACATTTGGAGGACTGCTCTGCACTGTTTGATTGAGGTTTGACCTGGGCTTGTATGGCTGAGTTTTGTTGATAGCATCCATCTCGAATCGCGACAGGTTGTCGGCAGCCGCGTTTTCCTGTTCGTGGACATGATGAGTGACACCGGAAAAACAGCAGGGCGAGGTCGAGTGGGAATTCTGTGGCGGTTGAGTTCAGCCACGTCTGGAGATTGCGTGTCGATCACGTCGGGTCAAGAGTTGTAGCGGCACAGCAGAGAGAATAAGTGCACTGTGCGTTACAATTATCAAGTCAAATCCCAGATTGTACGGAGAAGACAGAAGGAACCAGTATGAGGGATTTATTGTGCACAGAACCCGGGGTTGTCCTCTCAGGCGACAGTGGCCACTGGCGAAGCCAGGGCTGATGTTGACTGCGTCCAGTCAGGCCTGAGAGTCCTTGAGATAATGGTGGAAGCCGCTTTTGTAGGCTCGTAGGCCAAGCTCAAGTGGTGGCCAGTCAGCGTGCGTTGCATTTGCCGAGGGGTGGTGTCCCAGTGGCTTGTTCCGCTGGTTGCAGGGGGTGGCGCGTTCAAGTGGCCGCACGGGCAACTGCGACTGCGCGGACGCAGGTATGCCCGAGCTGTTGGTTGTGTGACTTCAGGCCACCTCGTCTGGGACGGCTCACTGCAAGGGATGAATGACCTTGAGGCAGCGAGGTCTTGAACAATGAAGCCGGGCCAGTCATTATGGCTAGCCGCCACAGTACCCTTAATGACCTGCCAGAGCTTAACGTCTTCGGCAAACATTATTTTGCCGCAGTCGAGTTCCTGAAGGCTGTCATTAATACAAAAGATGAATAGCAATGGTCCCAGAACTGGGCTTTGAGGCACACCACTGGTCATGTTCACCCATTCTGACATATCATCTCCGATACAGACACGTTGTTTCCAACCAACCAACCAACCAGAAACGCTAGCAGATTTGAGAGACAGGAACGTCCTCTCTGGAAGCCATGTTGAAAATCCTGCAAGATGTTATTTTCTCCACAAAATTGCTGTATAGCGCACTTTACTATAGCTGCCATCGTTTTGCATGGGAGGCAAGATAAGCTAAAAGGCCTGAAGCTGTTTGCTATCATCCTGCTACCTCCCTTTTGCAATGGAACGAGGTTAGCTGTCTTCCACTATGAGGGCAGCCTTTCTGTTCGTATTGACAGCTCAAAGAGAGTCGAAGGAGGCTTTGACAGTTCCGTTGATAGCTCCTAAAGTATCAGTCAAGGAATTCCGTTGGGTCCAGGAGAATTATCGGGTTTTATTTGACTGAGAACGCGTCTTACTTCTTCGACGAAAAAGGCAACGGTCTCGATAACGGCAGTATCTTGGCGCATTTGAAGCTCCCGTCTGTCTCAGCCCCTTTCAAACTGCCGATTGTCTTCTGAGGACTCCTCCGTAAAAACCGATTGAAAAAACTGAGACAGTAATTGCACTTTTTGTGGTCCTTCAGCTAATAGGTTTTGGAGGCTATCTTTTAGACATGTAATTGCGTCCCTATATTTTCTCCTACTGCGGATGTACACGTAAAACATCTTGGGACACGTAATGAATAGTGCTATCAGTCGGCGCTTGAAAGAAGTTCTAGGAACCCGTAGTTCTTTGCGACATTCGTTGCGCTGCTTCTTATGTTCGGAGAATGTTATTGGATCTCGAAGTTGCAAGTAGTAATAATTTTATTTAGTGCCAGTTTACAGGCATTGTCAGGGGAGCGTTAAACACAAATCCG